TAAAAATGGAAGAAAACTAGAAGATGAAGAAGACAAAGTAGAAAAAGGTAAATATGATGAAAAAACAAAGACAAATCAGATGAATAAGAAGTAAAAAAAAAAGATAAAGACAAGAAAGAAGAACAATTTGAAAACAAATTACGATGGAGAAGAACTCAAAAATACAAGGAAAAAAACTAAGAAAGGAAAAATATAAACTAGAAGAGGAGTAAAAAGACAGATAAGACAAAGATCTTTAAAATATGATGAATAATTTAGAGAGAGGAAGAATAATTGGAAAAAGAGAAATACGAATCGGAAGAAGAGGAATAAGAATCCGTAGAAGGAGAAAATAAAATAAAATAGAAGACAAAGTAGAAGAAGAAAAAGATAGGGAAGAGAAAAAATTGGATGAAGACTTTAAAAGAGAAGGAATTAGAAAAAAGTAGAAGAATATGAAGATGAGGTAAAAGCCGAAAAACACCAGAAGAATAGGAAGTCAGTGACAATGAAGAAGACGATGGTAATGAAAAAAGAAAAGAAAAAAAAAGAAGAAGAAATAGAATAATAAAACATTGAAGAAGAAGAAGAAGGATAAAAAAACCTGGAAGAGAAGAAAATCAAAAGATGTATAAGAGGAAGAAGGAAAAGATTGTGGAGAAGAAGAAGAAGACGTGAAAAAGAAAAACCGGAAGAATAAGAAGTAAAAAAATGACATAGAAAATAAAGAAGGAAAAAGAATTAAAAAAAACTAAAATAAAAAAAACTAATAAAGAAAGAAAGAAAAAAATGATAGAAAAAAATTAAAAGATAAAAAGATGAATAATTCGTATTAATCTTATTTTAGTTTGTGTTTGTGGATTTCATACATTAATTAGTATTGATTTTTAAGGTTTTTAATGTTAGACAATGATTACTTTGATAGGTTAGCTTTATTTTAATTTTGTATGTATCAAATTGTTGATCTAATTTTTTTTGATTTATGACATAAAATTTTATTTTACATTTTAATGAAACTCTTCGGTCCGCGTAAGTCACGGACTAAATACCTAGTTAATAGTGAAGGGACAACTAATTCTCTTTAACCAAACTATCCGAGCTTAACACACATCTATTCTATTAACACAGAAACACATTTAGTGCTTGCATCTAAATATTCCTAAAGTTTTTTTTATAATATTTTATTTTATTTTTATATTTAATTTCCGAAAATTAGTTATTAATTTAGATATTTTTAGATTTCCTAAAATCTAGGTCATCTTTAATTTAAATTTCAAATTATTAGAAATTTAATTAAGTTTAGTTACAAAAATTTGCATTCAATTTAATTGAAATTCAAAAAATTCAAAAAAAATTTTAATTAAATTTATTACGAAAATTTAGATAATAATTTTAATACTTTAAAATTTCTTAAATACAGGAGAGATTTAATTTAAAATTTAAAATTTAAATAATATTTTTATAAAAATTCATAGTAAATAAACATTTTATCGTATTTTATCATAATCAATTGGTCTAAAATATCAAATTTTGAGATTAATAAATATTTATATTATACAATAATATGATCGAGCTGATTAGAGTTATATATATATATATATTTAAGGTCCATGAGTTAATTTATTAAAACATGTAAGATATTAAGATGATTTGAGACAATTAAACTAACAGGTTAGCCAGTTTATATATATATATATATATACATTTTTTAATACCACAAACAATAAATATATATCTTATTATATTTTTTCATAATCAATTGGTCCAAATATTCTATATTAGTAAATATTTATAGGGTTATATAATTATAATTATAGTCTTATACGGGTTAATTTGTTAAAACATGTAAGATATTAAAAATGATTTAAAACAACTAAACGGATGGATTAGCAAATTCATAGATAGATAGATTTTTTATGTGTAAATCTAAATTTACATAATAACAAAGTTTATAATTAACATTAGATCAATGTATACTTAATTAACGCATACTTTTATTCTACTAATATACAAATTTTACTGTTAAAATTTAAAATATGATAAAAA